GTAACCCTTCATAAATTATGTTATCTTACCTAATCAGATTGGATTTGGAAAAACGTACCGGTGGAATTTATATTTTTTTTTCAGGTGAAAAAACATACAGGCAGAATTTACATGAAAAAAGGTCTAAGAAGGTCAGCAATCGGTGGAATTTACATGCGCCTGTTTGTACGTAGGTAAGTGTATGATTTCATTCTATACTCCGGCCCACGAGAGAAGTAACCCGCTTCACGCATGCAGACTGACGGCAGCGACCGTTCCGAGACCTCTATTCCCCCACTTTGTGTCATTCAGTGTCGGGTTGTGGCGTGCATACATCGCGAAACAAGCGCTATACAGAGTGATTATAATATATTGTCATTCATAATATTAACGTATAACACGAGTGGAACAAATGTAAATTAAAATTTATTTTTATTTTTAAATATTCAATATTTACAAAATTTAACGTAATAGTATAAAAACATGTAACAATAAAAGTATATAAGTACATATGTATAATATAATGTGATATTTCACATTTAGGTATTCAAAAGTGATTTAGGAATGTTAGTACTAATAATATATTTTACAATTGTATAAAAAACCAAAAAATATACATAATATTTAGTACATAAATACAAAAAAAAAAATTTAAGCCACATTTATTAATAATATATTTTACAATAATTACTCGTCAGAAAAATCAGAAGAAGTGTCACCAGTTATTGTCATTATATTATGTGAATGTGATTCTTCATTATCCAACTTATTTTCAGTGATGAAGTCAATTTCATACAATTTGTCTTCTTCTTTGATAGTATGACAAACGAAATTGGCCAACATGTCAGAAGTCACTTTCTGGACACCTTCGATCAGCAATTTCTTAACATCATTTAGTTTAAATGTTGCGTCATTTTGTTTAACATGATTCTTCACTACAGACAACGTAAGTTCTATTGGATTAAGTTCGGCATGGTAAGGTGGCAAACGTAATACATGTCGATTTGTTTTCAAAGCTCCTTCGTCAATTACATATTTGGTGTGTAGAGGTTTAATTTCGTTTACCTTATCAAGCAATCGAAATTTCACCATCGGTTTATCAAAAACAATATCTTTAGACTTCAACCAATTAATGATGTCTTCTTTTTTCCAAGCCGCTGTCTTTTTTGACAGAATTGTGCGATGCATTGTCCATAACTATTATTGAATTTTCCTTTAATCGAGGCAGAACTTCACAAAACCATTCGTATAACGTGGCGCCATTCATTTTGTCGTGGTAGTCTGCTGTGTTTTTTTCGACTCAAAACACAATAGACCACCCTCAACGAAACCATCTGCCGAACCGATATGAACAACTATTAGACGTTTGCTTTTACCTGATGGAATTTGGCGTCTGTAGATAGTCTTTTCAGGAATGCATCCCTATGAGATTTGACCGAATTATCAATCCATACTTTACTGCTACATTCCCCTGCGTTTACCCACGTTTCATCAAGAAAATATATTGTACGACCTTCACTCCGATATTCTCTTATATCCTCAATATATTTTTGTCGCCAAACAACGAGATCTCCTCTTTCCGTAAGCGCACTATTCCGAGACCTTTTTGTATATTCAAAATTTAATTCTTTCAAAACCCGCTGTAAAGAGGTTCTAGGTAAACTCGGAATATCTGGATCCTCATCAATAGCAGTAACAATTTTCTTTTAAGTTTGGATTTCCCCTCTAAACCAAAAACCGTGAATTATTTGACGAATTGCAGTTTTGTCAAAATCGTCAATTTTGTCATTGATTTTGGGGCGGATTTTTGTTTTACATGGCGACTTCAACTGTCCTGTATTTTTGTACTCACTTATTGTGGTTATCACTGTACGCTTTCCAATCCCAATTTCTTTTGAAATATATGCTACCATTTCCTGTTGATGTTTTTTTGACTCGTATAAATTACCAATATTCTGTTTTTGCCCTCTTCCAACAAACTGAAACAATAATTATTAAATTATTCAAATACTATAATACGACGTTAAAATATAAAAATGATTTCGATTCGTTCATAATTTAGAATTTATGAATAAAGTAACACATATACAAGGTGTAACAGATAAACCTAACCAAAAAAATAAATAAATAATGCTACCTTAACGTAGGACAACATTTTTTAAACATTATATGAGTAGTAAATAATTTAAGAAAATATTCATGTCAGAAAATGTCCTTAAACTTTATTTAAAAAAAAAGTTTTTACATTCCAAATGAATTTAATCAAAAAAAGGTGGGCAAGTGGGTGTCGCTCTGCTGTACAGTAGGTTACAAGTGGGTCACTGTATAATGGATGGTATTAAATTTGAATTCAATGATATAATATCATTGTATAAGAAAAACGATTCTGAGCGGTGATGGTATGTCAGTCTATGTATAAGACATATTATATATATATCTATGGTATTAAACAAAAAATTGACCTATAATAAATTCCAAATTAATCATATCACAATATCCATTAGAAACTTATAACGCGTTATCCATCAACAAAAACCGTGATACTATCATAGATATATAATAGTACACTTTAGAAATTTCAAGTACCCACGAATAATATTATTCAATCACAACAAAGTAACTAAAATAGTTATTCTAGGTTTTTTAATATGTAATTTCGTCCAAATTTGAATTTAAAAAGTCTGTGAAAAATAAGTGTGTTCATATATTTTTTATATTTTTTGGTTATAGTATGAACTATTTATGAGAACCTTTGTGTTGAATTTGTAATCCTTAGCTATAAAAACTGAACATTTTATAATTTATTAATTACAATGATTGATAATTTTCGAGATTTTGATAAATTTTGTCGAAATTTGATCTTTAAATGCTTATAAAAAAAAAATGTGCCTATTTATATTTAATATTTTTCAACTGCTATTGTAAAAATATATCAGGAGCCTTGTATTAAATTTTTACACTTTTTGGCCCAACAGATAAAACTTTATTGA